AGCATTGTAATTTTTATTACATTGGCTCAGCCTACCCATGAGCAATTAATATTTCTCCAATTTTTAGATGTCTTTATTTCTGAGAAGAATGCCCTGTGATTGTATTCATATAATTCTTGCGTGTGTCTTGGCAGGTAGGTTCCCAAGCATTTTATATTGTCTGTAGTTATTTCAAATGGAATTTCTCTATCTCAGAGAGAAAATTTGAAAAGCAGAAATGAGGAAGAGGGGTACAAGGTAGGTGTAGGGGACAGCCTTTAGAGAGGCAAAGAGGATGGTAGTGAGAATGCCATGGCTGGAACATAAAGTGGGTAAAGAGGGGAGAATAATGTTCAATAAATTTGGAATGGTGGGCTGAAGTCAGATTGTGGAGGACTTTAGGAGCAAAACAGACTGGATTGTGTTTTATTTTAGAGGTAGGCACTGGAGCTTCTTGAGGAGTGACATGATTAGACTTATGTTTTAGGAAGATTAATTTGGAATGTAGAGGAGATATTGCAGAGGGGAGATGTTGGTTGCAGGGAGCCTAATTAGGAGGTTGTTTCGGTAGTCCTTGCAAGAGGATATGAAGGCCAGGTTGTGGTGTAAGTGTAGAGAAAGGGGACAGATGTGAGATGTTATAGAGACAAGACCAAAAAGACATAGCACCTGAACAGACATGGAGTGACAAGTTGATACTGCCTGAGAGATTGCAAATCCAGGTGATTGGAAGGATGATAATGTCCTCAACAAAGAAGAAAGATAGAAAGATGTGAGGGTTTGGGGATCAGTTGTGTTTGGGACATTTTGCATTAAAGATGCTAAGGTGACATGTAGCTGGAAATGTCCAGTATAGAGCTGGTGACAGGGGACTGGATTTCAGAAGAGAAATGAAGGTTGGAAAGGGTTAATGTTTTATCTTGGAGACAGTAGGGAGCCATGGAAGATTTTTGAACAGGGGATTGACATGGTCAGACCTGTGGGTTAGGAAGATTATTTTGGCAGCTCTGTGGAGGATAGCTAAGGAGACAGGTAATTATTACGGTAGGTTAGGCAAGTGGTGATGAGGCTGGTGGAAATGTTAGCCATGACGAAAAGGGCCACTTCTTCCTTCAAGACTAGAGCCAAAGAGCAAAGGATGGGAGGAAAAAAGTAAATATCTTGAGAAATGGACTAGGGTATGAGGAGAGATCATGTACATGGCTTTGATTTTCTCTGTAAAGATGGAGATAAGTTAATTTAGTTGGGAGAAAATGGACTTGAGGAGACAGGGAGTAGTTTGAAATACTTTCTGAGGTATGGGAAATAGAGAGCCCAAGGAAGAATGAAAGGACTGCTGTGCAGCAGTGACTCTGGAGAATACAGGTAGTGGAGACAATTCAAAGTAGAGGACTGGCAAGATGTAAATGTAGCAGCAGGACAAGGAGGCAAGGAATTCAAGGGTGGAGGACAGCATCTAGAGGGCCAGGTGAGCATAGCATAGGACTGATGGACTTGGAGAAGGCCGGAGAGACTGGGAGTTGTGCTGAGGACAAAGAATAGGTTTAGGAAAAGTAAGGGGTGCGGGGACAGGTAAGAAGGACAGGAGGTTATGATCAGAAAGGCAGTTTTATGAAGTAAGCCCTCCTGATCTGAGTCCCTCAGAGTACAGATACCCTGACACATGGAGTCTCTAATGGAGGTGAGGCTAGTGGGCTCTCTGGTGCTTGCAAGCCTCAGTGAATCAGAATTAGGGGCCAGAGGAGTAATCAGAGAAGGCAACAGCAAATTCAAACTCAAGGCAAGTAGCCAGCCCAAGGCCATGAGAAATATGTAGCCAGTATTTCTCAGGAGCCCAAGGACTTCCTTCTAAGAATCTCACTGAAATGTTTCATATTTGGGGAGGACCAACCTAGGGCTATGAACATCTGCCACTTGCCCAATTAATCTTTAGTGCCAGTTCCTAATGGTATGATGGAGATTACTGAATTTTGGAATCAGGAGATTCAGGTTCAAGTCTGAGCTATCCCTTCACTTGGCAGGTGATCTTGAACAAAATACATGATCCCTCTGAGCCTATTTTCTCTTTTGTAAGATGGCAAAAATTATATTTGCACTGTCCACGTAACAGAGGGTTTGTAAGGATCAAATAATATGTCTATCAAATGATCTGCAAGTGGTCAATTGCCATATAAAAGGAAGTCCCCTGCCTTTTATAGTTCTGCCATTGTGTTCACTCATAGGCAGTGAAATCCCAATGATAATCATTAAAATTGAATAAGGAGTAGAAACACAATGGAGAAAGATATTAGAAGAATTCTCCAAAAAAAATATTTTCCAGTACCACCTTTAATAAGTTTAAGTGAATGGGAGTGGAAGGCAGTTTTAGATTTAAGTACCAGACTTAATGTTTTAATTCTCTTCTCTGTTTTATCATATCCCTCCATGCTGTGAAATTTGGATTATTTTTTTAATCTTACCTTCTTATTTTTGTAGTTCTGGGTATTGAACTGATTATGCAGTACTCTATTGTTGATTTTTCTCTCCTGACTTTCCTCTAGAGATCAAGCTATGCTTTCCAAACATCCTCTTTAATCCTCTTATCCAGGGAAAGGTAACAGAGGTGCTCACACCTATCCATCATGACCTAGCTAAGACTGACATTTTACAGTCTTTTGTAACTGGGCTACACAGAACAGGAAGCTTGGAGGTGAAAGTATCCATTACCCATCACCCATCCCTCCAGCCAGCTATCTCAGATGACATGGGTGCTTTTAAAAGGGGGGGGAGGGGGTGAAGAATGTATATACACATTTAGAAGTCTAGACACTGCCTGTGGAAGAGAATAAAACCAAAGTTGGCTGTTGGCTGTCACCTGGAATCACACAGCTGTGAAGTGCTGAATCACACCCAGAACTCAAGGACACAGAGGGCTTTTCTGAATGACAGGCCCACTCCGGCAGCTCTCTGTGTAGCAAAAAGTTCAGTTCAAAGCATTAACAAACTCTCTTCATTGCCATTCCTGCTTTGAAGTAAGTTAGGGAGCTTCACAGTAAATATAGTTATAAGGGTGGACACTATTTTCTTTTTAAGTTATACATAATTTTTTTTTGTTTTAGGCAATTGGGCTTAAGTGACTTGCCCAGGGTCACACAGCTAGTAAGTGTCAAGTGTTTGGTCTGAGGCCAGATTTGAACTCAGGTCCTCCTGACTTCAGGGCTGGTGCTCTATCCACTGTACCACCTAGCTGCCTCTAAGTTATACATAATTATTACTGCTTCTCACTCCCCTAACTCTGCTGCCTTCAGTATATAATGCAGTGGTGATTAGGGGATTAGGCATTTGACATTAGGTCCAGGTACACATCTGACAGTTTCTTGTAGCTTCAGATAAAACTCTTTTCTTTGTTGTAAAGATGGACCATTGTTTAGAAAATGATGACATAGCCCCCTCATATCTTTTCAGTGTTCTTACACCTTCCTGGCATATACTCTTTGATCCTCTATCTCTCCCTCTGGGCATGGAACACTCTCCCTCCTCACCTTTGCCTACTGACTTTCCTGGCTTCCTTTAAATCCCAATTAAAATCCCATCTTTTACTGGAAACCTTCCCCAATCCCTTAATTCTAGTACCTTTTCTCTGTAAATTATTTCCTTTTTGTCCTGTAGGTAGCTTGCTTTATCTATAGTTGTTTGCACATTGTCTCCTTCTTTAGATTGTGTGCTCCTTGAGGGCAGGGACTGTCCTTTGCCTCTTTTTGTATCCCCAGCATTTAGCTGAAGATGACACCAAGGCTGTGAGAACCTTGGTGGTACCCTGAACAGCAGCAGGGAAGATGGATGGGCTAAGGGGAAAAGATAACGTAATGTTATATGAGATCCAGATTAAAGTCCACCCATGCCCACGCATTCTGTGATATGCATTCTGCCCCATCTAAAATGAAAAGAGGAGGAAAGGGAGTAAAGGAACAGGCATTTATTACGCACCTATATGCCAGGTACTACGCTAAGCTTTATAATTTATAATTATCTCATTTGATCCTCACAACAACTCTGTGAGGTAGGTGTTATTATTACTCTCCATTTTATAGTTTGAAGAAACTGAGGTGGACAGAAGTTAAGTGACTTGCCCACAGTCACACAGGTAAGTGTCTGAGGTCAAATTTGAACTCGGGTCTGTCTGAGGCAGGGCTCTTACTCAAAAGTCCCTGACCCCAAGAAGAGCCTGTTCTTGCACAGGCCCCTACTGAAGCCCCAAGGTGATCTAGAGCCCAGAGACAGAGGAATTGTTCTAGAGACCCCTACGGAATTGCGACGAATAATGGTTAGTTTATCCTGTGTTGAGGGTAGTTTAGGTTATAATTGCCTTGAGGGACCCAACACCTAGATGAGATGGGGGAAGTTGAGAGCTTACATAGAAGGAGCAGAGTTAAGGAGTCTTGGGGGATAAGGTAGGTGTGGTTGTTTTGGAGAAAAGCTCCATTATCATAGCAGGGGTGGGATGTGGGTTGTTTTCCACTTTATCCTCAAATTGATTGATGACACATCTGTTGGGGTTAGTCCACAGTACCCTAGGGTACATTGCCATGCCCTTACTTTGGATACTGCTGGATTAGGTGATCTCGAGCTCCCCTTCGAGGCAAATTCTATAAACTGATAACAGTGATATTCTCCCTTTCATTACTGCTTTTTAACTAGTAGTTTTGGTTTATATTAGTTTTGCAAGAAATGGTTTTCAGGACAAAACGTTTTTATATATTGTATCACGTAGGGAACCAATCCCCTGCTAATTATTTTTGTTTTGTTTTTTCAGATTTTCTCTTTCTTTAAACTTTTATTTAGTATTTTACTTTTCCCCAGTTACATGTAAAAACAATTTTGAACATTTGTTTTTAAAACTTCTGAATTCAAATTCTCTCCCTCCCTCCCCACCACCCCTCCCCCCCATAGAGAGGACAAGAAATTCGACATAGATATTATTTTAGCTAATTATTTAAGAAGATCTGAGTCCTTTCACAAAGAGGAAACATAAGGAGCCCACACTCATCAGTATCTTTGTTTATTGTCACTGCTTCTTAAATGTTTTCTACAAAGTAAAAACAAAGTACACAGACTTCAAATAGCATAGATTTGAAAAGTAAACCTCATATTGTGACATTTAGGATTTCAATAGCTTGTTCAGGCACATTTTTACCTATAGGCACATAGAGAAGATGAGGCTATAACTGAGGTGACTTGCTGTCTTGGCAATGATGTAATCAATCAGTTTCCTGGTGAGGTAGGGAAAAGTAGCAGTAGACAGAGGCCAAGAATAAACATACAACCGAGTCTATTGTTCAAAAGCTGATTATCTAAATTGTGGATTTTCCAGGTTCTTTGCTTCTTGTTTTCCTCCCACTGCCTACCTTTTAGGCATTTCACTGCTCATTAGCACCTATTGCAAGAGGTGGTAGGGGGAGGGAGAAGTATAAATCATTCTTCTACTTGTCAGCAATTTCTTTTTTAAGGTGAAGAACATAAAAGCATTGTCTAATGAGGTTTTTGGATTATGGTAGATTTCATGGTTCCATGTTCTCCCTGTACTCCATTAGCGTAGAGTTGATGGTTCCTGACTACACCAAGAAAATGATAAAACTTGTCAGTCATCCTCTTCAATCACTGACACATCCACCAGAGAGGAAGTCATCTTGAGGCAGATTTCTTCTGCTTGGCCCAGGACTAGCAGATTTCTAATTATTTGCCAAGAAGTGGATAGCGACTTTGCACAGGCCTCCTCTTTCATCATGGTCATTGTCCTAATCAGATCACCTTGCACTTCAATTATCTTTCCCTCTCTCTCTCTCTCTCTCTCTCTCTCTCTCTCTCTCTCTCTCACATACACACAAAATCATGGAACATCCCTGTGAGGGAAGACAGAACCTTACTTGTTTCACAGGCTACCTGGGAAAAGGTGCAGATTCTCATAATGGCAGTATTCTAATAAACTGGACAGATTCTTCTCTTTGGCCACTACCGTACTTGCCATCTTCTTTCCTATAGAGATGCCATAAACTTGGGACTGCCCCAACAGACTCAGGCAATATACTGGGAGCAAATGCTCCCCATCAGTGTGATGAAATACTGATTCCTTTGCTTCTAATACTACTGATTTTTTTTTCCCTTTCTGTTTAAAGATCATGTTTTTCTGATGGGAAATCTGTTAACTGTCAAAGGATAGAGAGTTTGGCTTGTAAAAGAACACTCCTCTCCTTATCACCCTCTCCCTCTACATCCCTCTCCTCCCTTTTCCTCTACTTGGAATGTGAAGAGGCTTTTTAATACTAACCCATAAGGGTTGGCATATGATTTGATGGTAAATATCCTACAGCCCTGGGCAATGTTCCAAACCCTGTACACAGCTCTTGTACTTTTAGGCAGCAACACTTCATGTTTGGAGCCCTGGCAGAAAAGACACCTTTCTAGCAATTTAAAAAAAAAAATAGTTCTCCCATTACAAGAAAATCAGCAACGTTGTGGTTTACCATTAGCTTGTCCTGGGTCAGTTACACTGTTGTACAACAGCCACTCTGCACAGCTGTGACACAGATCTCTTTGTGGGCTATACATATTTGCACATATATATGTATATATGTATATATAACCAGTATAGTGAAGAGGGGCCTTGAAAAAGGCTTAACTCCAAAGTGGTACCTTTTTTTCCCCCCTTGACCTGAGTTTCCAAGTGGGTGTTTTTCTTCCTTCTTGGGAGAGAATTAAAACAATGTTTTCAAAGGTGAGAAGGCACAATGGTTTAAAGGATGGTCATCAGAAACTTAAAGGAAGGAAAGGAAATTACGCTTCTACTCAGGATTGTGTTCATTAGCTGCTCTGGTAAGGAAGAGACTTCACACTTCTGCATGATAATCAATTTGCAGTTGCCAGTGTTGATTTCTGACTTTCAGGAAGAAATCTTCCCTGCCAGGGGAAGGATTAGGTAGAGCAGCTCTGGTCCCAAACCCCCCTGGAGCAAAGGATGATGTTTCCGTTCTCTTCTGTTCACCCACAGTCAGCATCCTGTCAGCATCCCTTTATTAACTGGGGACCATCTTCTGGGGAGGGGGTCATGAAGAGTCAATAGCACTTTTTCCTGATGGTTGATGCTGCATGAGCCTGGAAAGTTGCATTCTGAGATGTTCATTAACTGGTTTATAATTTTGACCCTATGTGTTTGAAGCCATACCAGGGAGAACCACTGCTAATGATACTGTTTTAACTATGCTTTAGGCATATGTTATTTTAATGACTCAATTGTGGTAAAGCCTTTGGGAGCAGGGGAGGGAACGAACCACATTTATTAGAATAATAAATGTGTATATACATTTTACCTCCTTGCCTGTGCAAAAAGAATTATGCCTACATTTGTACTTTTCTGCAGATGTGGTCAAAAAGAGTGTTGTGATCTGTCATCCTGCTAGCATCTGGAATTTTTAAAGCTAGATATCAACATCTAAGTTGCTTTCCTTTTTTTTTTTTTGCTAAACATGATAATTCTAATACATTCCATATATACATATATGTGTATCTTGAATATTACTGCATAAAGTAGCTTCCCAGGAATTTAGAACTTATCAACAAATATTCATATTTATCCACAATTACATCAAATCGCACAATTAAAAAAAAAAGCCATAAGGTATTCATAGTGCATTAAGTATCACAGGTATGTCCCACAGAGAACACAGAATTTACACGTGGCTTGTTTTTTCAGTGTGGGGGTAGTCAGTAGGCAATACAAACTTGACTGTGGTTTCTTTCTCCCAACCTCTTCTGATCCGTGCCAGTCGACAGCGAAGACAGGGCAGGAGAAACAGCCCTTTGGCCAGAATGACCACGCATGGCACCAGCAGCGTAAGTGTGAAGGTGGGAGGTAAATAGAACTTATAGCGGCTCTCTTCAAAGGCCCTTGTCCAGCCATAGGTGAGCGTGTGAAAGGTAGTTATAACCAGGGCCAGGAAGCCGAGGGTAGACTGGTGGGAAATAAAAGAAAACATGTCAGATAGTTGGAAACTTCCATTTTCAAATGCTTTTTTCCTTTGCAGTGGTGAAGTACATGAATGACTACTCTGTTTAGTCTGATATCCTTCTATGGTCTAGCCTGCTTATAGGCCCATCTTTCAGGGCTTCATCTTCTCCTTACCCCAGAACTGGTTCACAGTATGGTCAGAGAATGTGGATTCATTCAAACAACTGAAGAGAAGCATTATAAAGTTAAAATTTCCAGGGAAATGTTGTATGCTGCTATTATAAAACCAGGTATAACTATCCACTCCATTAGTCCCTGAAATAAGAATACGTGATCAGTATAAAGATCAGTGGCCTAAGACACCTGGGTTCTAGTTTTACTACTGAGAATAACTACGCCCTTGAACAAGTTGCTTTATCTCTCTAGACCTTGGTATCTTCATCTGTATGAGGATGACATCTGTCCTACCTACATCATAGGGGTATTGGTGAGGATCAAGTGAGATAATTTTTGTGAATGAGTTTTTGAAAGTATAAGCTACCATATGTAAGTATAAGGTGGCATTGCTGCATATAAAATGAGAAAGGACAATAATTTATAAAGTAGTATGCAAATTAAAATGTTCTCCCAAATACCCTTAGTATTTAATTTAAAATGACACAAATAGCCATATCAAGTGAGGCACACTGTATAATTTCAGGATCCTAAGGTTTAGGAATACCTTTGATCTTTTTAGAAATTAGTCATTTTTTGCCTTGTAAATTTCTATTTAGTCTTGTTTGATTTATTCTTGACTCAGGGGTCTGGTTCAGTTGCCAAGTTTTCTGAGTCTCTGTGTATCTGATTCTCATCTAGTTCATTCAGGCTAGAAGGACCTTTCAGTTACAGCAGTATGGATGTCTCTCATCTAGTGAGACATGATTACTAAAGGTTGCTTTTAAAACAAAAAAAAATTTTTTTTTGCAGAGGAAAGCAAATCTTCTATTGACATAATTATAATTGTGAGATGTTATCAAAGAAAACATTTTGGCCCCAAGTGAAATATGATGCTTACTACAAAAAATATTCTCAATCCTTGAGAAGTAGATTAAAGTCTTAGCTTATTTGGCATTAGGAGAAAAACAAATCTAAAACTAGCATATACAAAGCAGTGGATTTTGGGGTGACCTTGTCCAGGTGACTTAATAAGTTAAAATTCTCCAACTTCTAACCCTTTCCCATTTCAGGGATCCAATAATTACAACAACTATTATGCAGAAGGTTAGATAGTGCAATGTAGGGAGTCCTGGCCCTGGGGTTAGGAAGGCTTGAGTTCAAATCCTGCCTCAGACTGTGTGACTATGGGCAAGTCATAACCTCTCTCGCCATTTGTAAAATGGTGATAATAGCACTGACTTCACAGGGTTGTTGTTAGACTCAAACAAGATACCAGGTACAGTGCTTTGCAAACCTTAATGTGCTATATAAATGTCAGATGTAGCAATTAATATTAAATACATTTTTAAAAACCCACCGAGGGGCAGCTAGGTGGTACAGTGGATAGAGCTCCGGCCTTGGAGTCAGGAGGACCTGAGTTCAAATCCAGCCTCAGAGTCTTGACACTTAATAGCTGTGTCACCCTGGGCAAGTCACTTAACCCTGATTATCTAACCAAAAAAAAAAAAAGCAAAAAACAACAACAACAACACCACCAACATCAACCCACTAGATCCTCATGAGCTTGGATACACAGGCATATTACAAGCTAGGCGTAACCCAGTGTATTGCTTTGATCACTTTTGTTAGTTCCTTGCCCTTTGATTTAAATTCCTGAGTCTAACACATCTCCAACCTGAAGTTAAGCAGCCATTCTGAGTTCCTCATTTGTAAAATGAAAAATTATTCTGGGATAGTATAGAGAAACACTGCCTACCAGCAGCAGTCAGGTCCTCTTGGTTCATATATCAGGTGTCTACTATGAGCTCTCAGGTGGAGATCCCACAGTGAAAAATGGCAGGGAATGTCAGTTTGTTACTAATTGTTCATGGAAGGGGTGTGACTAGGAAGTGCTCCTGGCTCAGGATGTAATAATATCCCAGATCAGCCAAAACAACCTCTTGACTTTTAAATCCAAACATAAAGCCTGGGGATTTTATTTCTCTAGATCTCATTTTTTGGGGTTTGTTTCCTTCCCTGTAACAACGTAAAAACACTAAAATAGCCAAAGGAGATAGAGAAGAGGAGGTGCACTGTAAGACAATAATACTATCACACTCAGGCTATTTTTATTAAGTTTGTTACCAAAAAAAACACCCGGGGAGTCGAGCTGACACTCATTTACTCTAGTCCTTGGGACAACTGGCTCAAAAAACAAATAAACTGAGGTTTCTGGTCATTATGTGTCATCGTTGAAGCCTGTGGTGGCTACAAAGGGTGAAGGTCAGTGAGAGCTCCTTGAACGTTGGGGAGGTGGCCATAATAAAACCCTGAAATGCTTTCTGTGTCACAGGTGCTGGGACAGCATGTATGTTGTCCTCCTGTTTAAACTACTTGTCTTCATGGTTTGCTTAAATGCTGTAATTATAAGGTCAAACAAAAGGATACTTTTGGGGAAAAAAAGGATAAATGTAAGCACAGATCATCTCAATTTAACCCAATTTTTTAACATGTTAACAATTCCTAAAGATTACAAAATTGTCAGGTAAATAAGACATTCAATAGCAATCTGGAATGCTAGCCCAGGAAAAGAGGGACTTTTTGTTATTGATGGATAGATATCAGCCATTGTCATCTGCAAAGATTTTGTTTCCTTCAAAGCACAGCTCTTTCAGGAGACGTTAACTGTTCTGTACACTTTGTTAGTGTTCTGCCCCCCTCATACCCCCTCCCCTGCAAAAAAAGTCACTTTGTATATACACTTTATTTGTGTGTGTATGCACTTACAATACCCACATACATGTTTTCCCCTTTAGAATGCAAGCTCCTTGAGAGAAGAGATTGCTTTGTTTTTGTATTTATACTCCCAGTGTCTAACGTAATACCTGGCATGTAGCAGATCTCAAACAATGCTTATAGAAAACAAGATATTTACATAGTTAGCGTAGTGGAAAGAACACTGGTTACAGAGACAGAATATCTGTCTCTGGTATTTATATTAAACATAAAACTTTTTGACAAATTACTTTTCTTTGCACCTGTTTTTTCTGAGAAATTATAGAAATTGAGAATTAGAAAATGTGCTCCTCAGAGGAAGTGGAATCCAGATGCCTCATTTTGTAGATGAGGAAACAGGCACAGAGATAATTAAATTTAAACTTAAGTAAGAGTTGTGGGTGGCTAGGTGATGCAGTGGATAGAACGCTGAGCCTGGAGTCAGGAATACTCATCTTCCTGAGTTCAAATCCAGCCTCAGACACTTACGACCTGTGTGACCCTGGGCATGTCACTTAACCTTGTAATGGCAAACCACTCGAGCATCTTTGCCAAGAAAACCCCAAATGGGGTCACATAGAGTCTGAAAGAACTGAACAAAAAAAGTCATATAGCTAATAAGTGTCTTGGTTGGGATTCGAAGTCAGGTCTGCCTGACTCCAGTTGTCAGGAAGGAATGCCTAATTTGTGGGAAGTTATGAGGAAACTCCTTTGTAAACCTAAAGATGCTTTAGACATGAGCAATTTGCTTTCTCTCCCTTTCTGGACATTTTATTGTGTTATATGGCACCGTTGGATGGGCAGAGGAAATAAACAGAATTAAACTCAAATCAGCTTGTTTAGTTCTTGGTTAACAACGGTATGTGACTTTGGAATGGCTTATTCACAGATCCTATACCTCAGGTCAACATTCAGCAGAGGCAGGACATTCATTTTTTGTTCCTAAAAATAAAAGATAAACTTTTATGCCCACTCCTTACAAAAATGTCTCTCCCTGCTACCGTGTTGAACTTTTATTATTCTCCCTCTTCAATATGTAGAGTACAACCTGGCAGGACTTGGAAGCTGCAGCCAGTTGTTCCTAACAGAATCAAATCCTCTGGCTTTCTTCAGCAGCACCAGTCCGAGATATGTAATCTGCTCCTGCTTAGAGGAACAACCTTCAGTTTGGGGAGGAACCTGCAGTCTATTTTAATTGTGGATGAATCATGTACCATGGGATACTGTGGTCTGAAACAGAAAAATCCTGGAGTCAGGTCCAAAAGAGAAGGATTAGTGGTAGATAAATAAAATTCCTTTTTTTTCCTCAGTTCTTAAACTGGCAGACGTCAGACGTCTGAGATTCTCAGCTGCAGGAGGCAAGTTGTTTCCCTGCTGCATAGAAGTTGAGGAATTCTAGAAATCATTTTAAATCACTGAATTTATTTTGTTATTATGAATCATTAACTAGGCACTGCTAATTTTGATTCTATTAGGATACTATAGGTTGGTTACTCTTGGGTCTCCATAGAGCCCATGGGTACCCAACCAGCAACTGCTGACCATTGTGATGATTCTATTTGTGGTGCCACTGCAAGCCAGCTAGTTGTTCCTGGAAAAGTACATTTTGGGTGCCATCCAAAGAAAGATAGAGTCCCTGCCAAAGGAACCTCACAGTCTAGCTAGGGAGACAATGTACTCCGAAACAAATGAAACAATTAGAGAACAATATAATATTTGAAACCAGCATTTTATTGCTGGTGTAATAAGGTGCTATATGGGATAACAGGAAGAGCATTGGACAAGTCAAGGGTTCTGGATTCAAATGCTGTTTTCACCACTTGATAGCTATGTGATCTTGGGCAAGTTACCTAATTTTTATGAACCAATTTTCTCATTTGTATAATAATACTTTACTACTTATTTCACAAGGTTGTTGAGGAAAGCTTTTATATAAACTGCACAATGATTTATGTTATAGGCAACTGGAGAATAGGGTAGCATACTTTTGATGGACCTCAAAGATAGAAGGCTTACTTGTAACGGTATGATTCATGTACCTCCCTGGCATAAATCTGCCACAGATTATCTACCCAATGTGCTGAAGACCTTCCT